ATAATGAAATGATAGTACACATCTAACAGAACGGCTAAGGCCCCAAACTGACAAGCCAACTGCTGCCTTGGATGCAGAACAACAGGAACGTCCATTCACGTGAAGTGGGAAGTCTGTATCTTCCGGCAAATTTGGAAGACAGTCTGCTTGGTTCTTAATGAGGTTCATCAGAGTCTTGCCACACTGTCCAACATTCTTGCTATTAAGTATCTGCCCAGTTTGCTTCAAAATGTATGTCTTATTAAACAAAATACAAATCCAGGATTAGTAAAGAGAAACTTTATTCAAAAGGGTGAGTAGAAGGAGGCAAGGTATGTGGAGGGGACTTTCGCAGGAGGACATGAGTAGGCAAAGCACAGGTAATGCTTTAGGGCAGTGAAACTATCATGTGCATTATAGACCGGATATTTGCTTCCTGCCCAAATTCACCTGTTGAAGCCCTGACCTCCAGTGTGATGGTATTTGCAGGTGAGGCCTCTGGGAGGTAATGGGGTTTGAGGTCATGAAGTCATGAGGGTGGGGGTTCTCTGATGGGGTTTGTGTCCTCAAAAGAAGAGGAAATATAAGTAACACTCTCTGTGTGAGGATGGGGTGAGATACAGGGTGGTTGTATGAGACAAAGCATTTGTCAGAATCCATGGAAGTTGACAGGACACAGAAGGAAAGTTAATGTGTTTAACCTTTTAAAACATCGTTATTGAGGTTGGGAAATATCAGGCTGAAATGCAGAATATGACAAAAGAATCTAACCTTACCAATGGATGAAAAGCTTCCCTGAAGACTGTCAAGTACAAAGAGCTAATCTAAGCAACACTGGGAATGAAAGAGGTGTGTAAGGCTAAAGACAAAAGAAATTGTACAAATGCAGCACAGTCGACTAGACAAACTTGTTGCCAGTATGGACACAGGTTGAAAACTCTGACAGCATTCTGCATGTATACTGGAACCTAACAATTAGTAAAGGGATGGTGGATGGTGAGAGGCAGGTTTTTCACTACAGGAGAGGGAGGTGCAGATTGTAATGTGGCAGGGGCAAGAATGATCCATGCTGTGATGGAGTAGAATTGAAGACATAGGTAGGAACTCATATTCAGCTTATTCTAGATCCTCATGATCACGTATCAAAACATATATAGAAATGTGTATATACATGGGTTAGTACACATACATATGTATTTCCTTTCTGTTTCAGCAGAGAGGGCCTAGAAACCACTAGACTCTGGTAGCTATGAGAACAGCTAGTAGCCATACTTGACTTCTGATACCATTTTCTGATAAAAGGAAACAAAGATCCTTGGAGAATTGGCTGATTCTAGAAGCTAGAAAATAGACCAGACAAGCCTAGAACATATGCAAGACAGAAATGTGCAGGATGTGCCAAAAACCAAGGAATTACACAAAATGGAACCCCAAATAATGGGAGCATACCAACGGGACCTAAGGGTGAACTGAATGTGCACCCAGTGGCCACAACTGGAAAAAAAAAATAAAAAAAGAAGTATTGGATTATAATCTAAAGTATCAAATAAATATCCATGAAACTATTGTGATATAACTCATTATTGAATAAGGTAATAAATGCAGAAGCATAGATAGCTGTGCCGTGAAGGAGAACTCCAAAGAGTGCATGTACTCTGCCTCAAAGAAAGAATGTATAACTTAGTACCAGATAGGGGTGATCTTTTCTTAATGACTTCCTTCCAAAGAGCAGCTTGTGGACAGGGGTTAAAAGAGTAAATTTTCATGGGCGCACCATCCAACACTGCTTCTGCCAGGTGATCAAGGTCAACTTACGCAGTCAAAACTAATGTTGATATTATCTACCCTTCATGCGATCACATGAAAATAGCTCTTTACATTTGTGGAGATTCTCCAGTAGCTCACAACATCAGTCTAATCATGAGAAAAGCATTAGAAAAATCTGAGAAAAAAAATATTCTAGGGAGGCCGGGTCCAAGACTTTGAGACCAGCTTGGGCAACATAGCAAAACCCTACCTCTGCAGAACACACACACACACAAACACACACGCACTCTCTCTCTCTAGCCAGGCATGGTGGTGAATGCCTGTAGTTTGATGTACTTTGAAAGGCTAAGGGAGGAGGATGATTTGAACCTGGGATGTGGAGTTTGCAGTGAGCTGAGATCCCACCATTGCCATTGCATACTCCAGCCTGGGTGACAAAGCAAGAGACCCTGTCTTGAAAAAATAACATTGTGGAAAATATCTCACTAGTAACCCTGAAAACTCTCAAGGTCATGAAAACAAGCAAAGTCTGAGAAATTGTCTCAGCCACGAGGAACCTAAGGCAGGATGATGACAATTAAATGTAGTGTGGTAGGCTGCGTGGTATCTTGGAATGAAAAAAAAAAAAAAAAAAAAAAAAAAAAAAAAAAAAAAAAGATATTTGGTAAGAAGAAGGAAACCTGGAATAAAGCGTGGACTTTAGTTTCTTCTTTCTATCAAAAACCACCAGCAGGGAACAGTTGGGGCCTCTGTGTCAGCAGAAAAACCAAACACACAAAAATAGTATCGCGAATGCTCTGAAAATAAACTTTTTAAAAAATCCCAGAACCTAAAAACGGACACCAGAATCTACATGCTTAACCTAAAGAAAGTAGCTGACTTCCAACATCCACTATTTGTCTCATGTCCAGAGACTGCTAAAGTAATAAGCAGAATATATTGTATGCCATAGAGCATAGCCCATCGTGTCAAAAACCGGGAATAGCACAGTGTGAATGAGGAAATGCAATCCAGTGGTGACAACATAGAGACGACGCAGATGTTGCCATTTCTCTGACAAACATTTTAAAGCAAACATCATAAAAATGCTTCATTATTAAATTGCAAACAGTCTAGAACAAGACTAGAAAATGGAAAATCTCAGCGATGAGTAGATGTGTGAAAAAGAAATGATGGAACAGAAAATGAGAACAATAACAGAATTTGGAAACATTGCTGGATTCACTCGGTGAGAGACCTGTGATGACAAAAGATATCACCATCATAATGGAGGCCAATCAATAGGCTTGACTTGACCGCCAGGCGTGGTGGCCACGCTTGTAATCGCAGCACTTTGGGAGGCTGAGGAGGGAGGATCACTGCAGGGCAACGTGGGGAAACCCTGTCTCTACGAAAAACACAAAAATTAGCTGGGTGTGGTGGTGGGAACCTATAATGCCAGCTACTTAGGAGGCTGAGGCAGGAGAATCGCTTGAACGTGGGAGGCGGAGGTTGCAGTGAGATCACGCCACTGCACTCCAGCCTGGGTGACAGAGCGAGACTCTACCAAAAAAAAAAAAAAAAAAGGATTGAGAACACCTTAGCGCACGAGAGGTCACAGACTCATTGGAAACTGAATGGATCCTCAATGAAGTTAGGACAGTAACAAAGTTCCAGCATCCCTAGTACCAAAACTAGAGAGTGGACTCAAAGAGTAGTATAAGAAAAGAAGGCCAAAAATGTCCAAATTTTAGTGAAAAACATAAATCCAGAGATTCTGGCAAAAAAGCAAACTGCAGAGAAGACAACCACAAAGCAATGCGCATGTCGGCGCACACACATCATACTCGGTTTTTGAAGCTGATAAAAACACTGAAAGCAGCAAGACTGAAGCGAGCGGTCCATTGATAATAGGAGAACGCCAGTTTCAATGAGGGTAAATGTCTCCTCAGACCGGCGGGGGCCGTTGGGGAAGTGTCCTGACATGTTTCAGGTGTTGAATAAAAGTCCTGTCAGCTGTGAATTTTGTATCCAGTGATACCATCCCTCATGGATGAAGGGGAAATCAAGACATTTCTCAGGTAAAGGGAAGCATTTTGTCACGAGGAGACCCATGGTGAAAGAATGGCTAGAGTCGGTGCTTAAAGCAAAAGAGGAAAGAATAAAAGATGGCCTCTGGGAGTATCAGAAAGTAGTCAAGAGTAATAGAAAAAAACACCCTTAGGGGTCAAACATTAAGCCACCCTTTTCCTTGTGAATGGTAGAAATCACGTTTGTTGATTAAAGCAAAACGTAAGAAAGCATCTGATACCCCAGACGAGGTTGTCCATAAGCGGGAAGGCAGAGGGGCTGAAAGGGGCCGATGCTTCCACACTTCAATGGAAGTGGTGAGGAGCGGCAACAGGAGCCTGCAGTAAGTCACACACGCACGCTGGAAATCCCAGAGCAAGCACTGAGACAAACAGTTGAAAACACGTTCGGGAACCAAGATAAACCCTGCAGAGTGTACAGGTAAGCCACAGAAAGGCCAAACAGGAGGAACGGTTAGCCGAGACAGGAAGGAAACAAAAGAAAACAAACAATAAGTTGGTGGACTTAAACACTAGCCCAGTGATCGTGGAAATGAACTAAAACCATGTATGAAAAGGTAGATACTGGCAGAGTCAGTGAGGAACACAGCCTGCCTATTCCTCGTTTATATGAAACTCAGTTGCATTTCAGCTGCCCTGGGTAAATGAAAAGGATACGACGGGTGGGAAAAGCCTCATCAGGTAAACATCAACTAAAAGAGCAGAAGTAGGGATGTCAACATTAGGTAAAGAGGCCTTCATGGCAACGAAAATTACGAGATAGAAAGACAAAACACTACACCCGAATGAAAGAATCAACCCCGCAAGAAGACTTTAGAGGAGTCTTTCCGTGCCCCTCCCAGCCGCCCTTCCGATTCCAGCGTGTGGGCGTTCCTCTGTGTTCCCAGAGCCCCTGGTTCTCACTTCTGCCAGGGCGAAGGTCCCAAGGTGTTGGGGACTGTATTTGCATACACCTGATCCTAAATGAATGTGAGTGCTTTAGGAGGCAGGATGCAGCTCCACACCCCAGCGCCCAGGTGGGGTACCTGGTGCCCAGCAGGTGTTTGTTGAATGCCTCACGACTGACTTTCAGGCCAGCGAAGGCTGTTGCGGTAGGGTCGAGGGAAGGGTCTCTTTACATCACATCCAACAAGGAACCAATCCTGCTGGCGGACACAAGGAGGCTGCTCAGTGACTGACGAGGAAATGGGGGTAGTGGGGTAGGCACCGGATCTGGAAGCCTCAGACGTCATGGGCAGAGTGAGGAACCCGACCACTGCTCTGCGGCGGAGGCTAAAACGGCCCGGGGACCCTCCCGCCTCCTGCGCGGCGTTCCGGGTCACCCGCGCCAGCCGCCGGCAGCGCCCCCGGGTCAGAGTCGGGGTCGGGAGCCCCGCGGCGGCCAAGAGGTGGCTGGGAAGGTGGTGGCAGAGGCGCCGATGGCGGCGGGTCCGGGAGAGACGCACTAGAGACCCGCTGCCCTCCGCACCACCCGCGGACCGGCATGAGCCAGCCGCGTCCCCCCAGGACCTGGACCTGGGCGCGCAGCGGGAGCGCTGGGAGAAGTTCAGGAAGCTGTGGGGTCTCAGCTGCGAGGGCGCCGCCAAGGTCCTGCTGGACACCTTCGAGTACCCGGGCCTCGTGCATCACACCGGGGGCTGCCACTGCGGCGCGGTCCGCTTTGCGGTCTGGGCCCCCGCAGATCTGCGCGTCGTGGATTGCAGCTGCAGGCTGTGCAGGAAGAAGCAGCACCGCCACTTCCTCGTCCCGGCCTCGCGCTTCACGCTGCTCCAGGGCGCGGACAGCATCGTCACCTACCGCTCCAACACGCACCCGGCGCTGCACAGCTTCTGCAGCAGGTGCGGGGTGCAGAGCTTCCACGCCGCGGTCTCTGACCCCCGCGTGTACGGCGTCGCCCCGCACTGCCTGGACGAGGGCACCGTGCGCAGCGTGGTCATCGAGGAGGTCGGCGGTGGCGACCCGGAGAAGGAGGACGCCGAGGAGCACAAGGCCATCCCCAAGACGTCCTCCCGGTCAGTCCCTGCCTGTGTCCGCGAACAGCAACAGTGACTGTCCGCGCAGAGAGGAACAGCGCAAGCACGCCCGAAACCCGCCGGCCGGCCGGCCCCGCGCGGAGCCCCCGACTGCCTGCACAGATCACACGCTGTGAACGAGGTGTTTCTGGCCTGGTTAAACCGTGGTTTCCCTTCCAGGGTTTGCCCTTCCCCTCCGCTAGTTTTCAGTGAACTCGCTTACGTTCCAAACCTTGAACACAACTTTAATCTTGTGTACAACGTTACCCTTGCAATCCCATTAGCAAGAAGAGTGTCTCTGCTTTTTCTAGCCATCCGTTGACTGTGTCTCTCGCTTTTACTGTTCTGCATACGGTTGTCACAAATCACCTGCAGATGATTCCCGTGTCCTGTACGTTCCTGGTGCTATTGTGAACAGGCTTGTTTTCAGCGCTTTGCGTCTGGTGTGTAGGACGGCAACACACAAACAGTTTGTAAACACCTTGCCAGGACGTCTTCCACTCATTATGGTGCGGTGCGCGCCCGCTCCTGTGACTTTTGGGTAGACATTCATATTGCCACTACTTAGATTCGCGTTATGCTACTTACTGGGTTTTTAGTGATATATTTCAAGATTTGGTCGTGTTCCATACCTCATTGCTCTTAATCACCAAAAGGTGTTACTATTTTCCTTGTTGACCTCTGGAAAGTGTCTCTGGGCAAGGAGATGGGGATACAGGAATGAGAAAGACACCTGTGCATTGTATGCCCTCTTTAATCTTTTGAAAGACCTGTCTTGTACATGTGTCAAGTATATAGAAATCAGTAAACACCTTTTAGGCATCTATGTGTGTTGGTGTGTCTGTAAAGTTCGACTTGGCTATGGCAAGGCTTGGTTTTTGAAAGGACTTGGTCTCAGATTATTTCAGAAGATGCTGGTGACTCTGCCTTTTGTAGTAGAGAATACTCGCACAGGGTTCCCTACTTTTTTGATGAGGGGAATTAGCAGAGGGTTTACACATCTGGCCTCTGGGGACACACTACCTGTCTTTGAATCCTGGACCTGCTGTCATATACAGCTACATAGCTGGCATCAAGCAGCTTAAACTGGATTCCTCAACTTCCTCTTTCCTCAAGAATGTTAACAGCTAACAGAGTGTTCTCGGGTCAACACAGTGCCTTGCCTTGACTACCTGATCCCTGAGTGCTTCTTTTCTTGATTTCGGGTCCCCCAAACTCCTCCCATCAAGGCACTCAGAGGATATGAAACTGCATTGTTTAGGGGCATCTATATAGTTGGGAAAACCATGAAGAATTGGCAGTGAAATAATTTAAACCAGCGTCAGATTGGGGTTTAACTCTACGGAGGAGGAATGGCTTTGGTTAGGACATGTGTCCAGCATTCCTGTTCCTCTTCCTGTATGACAAACGGCCCCACAGGGAGTCCATAAAATAACGACCATTTTATCATATGCGTGGAAGTTGAGAGGCAGGAATTCAGAATGGGCACAGTGGATAAGACTTGTTTCCCATGAGCCTGGGACCTCAGCTGCAGAAGCCCGACTGGCTGGGGACTGGAACCATCTGAAGGCTCATTCACTGACATCCCTGCTGCCTGCATGGAGAGGACTGGAAGACTAGGCCTGGGGGGCGGAGGGCCCCCGTGTTACCACTCCGTGGCCTTTGGCCTCCTCTCAGCAGCGTGGGCCTCCCAGTACTCACGCTTCCGACCACATGACTCAGGCTCCAAGCAGCACTTTTCTGTATCCATGGTGAACGTTGCGTCTCCTCTCTCAAGCAAGACTCCTGTGTCATACACTATTGATTAGAGGTGAGTCACAGCCTTTTCAGATTCAAGCGTGGGAGGCAGAGTAAATCGCAGGTCTCGCTGTGAACGTGGCAGCTTTCATCCCAGCATGAGAGACGCCAGATCTTGTTGTTGCCACATAGTCCGTCACGGTGGGCTCCTAGGGAGCTGGTTATGTTTCACTGGTGGCCGCTCCCACATGGTGGCCGCTCAGATGTGTTTAACAGGTCACATATAGGTTGTGCACAGTTGTTGAGGATTCAAGACATAATCAGGAAACAAAATAGGTAACTGACTCCTATCTCTGAGCAAGGCCGAGAGAAGACTAAATGAACAACCGGAGGTCCGGAGGGAAGATGACAGTTAGAAGGGGACTGGCTGTTCAGTCCTGGAGCTCACCATGGCCACGGCAAACGCAGTCCAGGGTAGAAGTCTTCGTAATCTTCGGGACCATAGGTACTTCTGACCCCACCAGAAATAGGTAACTTCCTGTTAGCTGCATAGGCTGGCCTGCCTTAGCTCGTGCCACTGACTGCCCCTTCCTCTCTCCGTTTTAAATCCCTGTTTCATTCATTCATCTGTTCCACAAGCATTTACAGTGGGTCTGGAATGTGTCAAACAGAAAGTGAGAAGGACTTAGGGCTATGGACAAAAGCGGAGTTGGGTGAAGATGCTCAGGCGAGGCTCTCAGAATGTAGCTCCGCTCTTCCATGGAATGCCACAGGGAACGGAATGGAAACAGCCCTCTCTCAGTAGAATGGAAGAGCGCATCTGGCACCGGATCCACAAAGGCCGCTTGTTTGTATGCCGGCTCTTCAGATGACGTCTCAGGATGAACTCCAGACTAGAAGGTGAATTTGTTTTCTGACAATCATCAAGGAAACATCTGCAAGTGTGTTTTAAAAGGAAAATTCCCACCATGAACCAAATGGAAAACAATATCGCTGGTCATAAAATGTAATTAGAAATAGATGTGTTGAAAACATTTGTTGTTATACATGATTTTTATTGTTTGGTTTTATATTTTGAGACAGACATGGGCTCTGTTGCCCAGGCTGGAGTGCAGTGGGTGATGCCGGCTCACTCCAGCCTCCACCTCCCCTGCCCAAGTGGTCCTTTCACCTCAGCCTCCCAGTAGCTGGGATCACAGGCACGTGCCGCCACAGCCCGCTAACCTCTGGTATGATTTGTAGAGAGCGGATTTCACCATACGTGAACCGGCCTGGTCTCGAACTCCTCAGCTCAAGCTTCCCGACTGCCTCGGCCTCCCAGAGTGCTGACATTACAGGTGTGACACAACATTTGTCGATGTTCTTTTGAAAATGAAAAAGATGAAATAGATCTAAGGACTCTCTCTCTAACAATGTCTCATTTGTGCTCCTTTGTTTACTTGGCACTAAAATCTTTCAGAATACCTGTTGTTCATCTCAATTGGTGGAGGAAGAAACTGAGACTCTGACAATGGAAGGACCAAGCCCACAGGTGCCAAGGGAGCAGGCGGCAGGGAGAAGGTGGAGAGCCACGGCCGTTGGATACCACGGTCAATAAAGACCGGAGAAAACATAGTTCTCAGGCACTTCTGCCCCGTTCAACCTGGCCCCTCTCTGTTTTCACGGATCCAATTCTCTAAGCATCTCGCCCTATCTCCAGCTCCCATCAAAAGCAGCTCTTCAGCCCTGGCCGAGATCCTGTGGCCCGCTGCCCAGTACAGGCCACCACGATGCGGGCCTCCTGTCAAAATCTGAAATGACCGTAGATTACACTTTGTGCTGTTTCATGATCCCCCACGTTGTTCGCCTACGTGCCGAGGTACTTGTGTCTATGGCCACAGGTGACCTGCACATCGGAGTTTGGAAAACACTTATTTTCAGGACAGAGGCTTTGAAGGGACACCCACCTCTGCTTGTGTCCCAACTCTGCTACTCGTGCCTGCCTAAACTGGCAGCCAGTTTTAGAAGCTCCATTCACCTTCTGTGTGAGGCTTCAAGGAGGGGGTGCCCATGAAGGAATCACCGAGCCTAGCCTGTAGTCAGCACTTACTGCATGTGAGCCCTTTCTATTCTTCTTGTTGTTGTTTGAGCAAAAATTCAAAGGCAGCTTTTGTCTCGACTGCGCACAGCCTGAGGTGTAGGCAGTACTTCCAGGACCACTGCCTCCGGAACCAGCATCCACGTTTCTTTGACGTGAAAACTGAACGTAAAAGCAATTCATTTACAAAAAGGTAGGAGGACACAAGGAAATAGGCCTTCTGGTGACTTCTTAAGTTCCAAGTTTCCCTAGACCCTGTCATCACCCAATGTGTGGCGTGAGGAACAGAGACAGCCTTTTCCATTCAAAACTGTGTGACGGGTCACAGGTCAGCGGAGTACAGGGTCCGGCAGGAGCAGAGCGATAGCGCACCCTTTGTCAGACAAGTCAGCACGCTGTTCTGGGCCTTGGCTTCACCATCTGTAAAATGGCGACAGAACTACATATTTCTTCATTTACTGAGCATCTTAAGTGAAGTGCCGGAAAGAGAATGTGGCGCTCCATGCCCTGATGCGTCAAGTGCTCAAGAAATGACAACTGTCGTTCCTAATGTAACTTACGTTATTTCACCCAGTGATTTGGACCAAAAGGACCTAGACCCTATTGCTTCTGCCTCGGCCTCCAAAGTAAATGCCTCAATGAGTTACTCTAATACCTTTCCCCTCCTGCAGCATGAGCAGGATTAAGGTTTTCCTGGGAATGGCACCACGATTTCTGTGACTCCACCACAATTTCTGAGACTTGACTCTGAGGCAGTATCACAGTCTGCACTCTCTTCCCAATGTCAGGTGTGTGGGTGGTGGGGTTGATGTCATCACTGTCTCTCACCTAAATAGTAGACTTGAAGTGAGTGAAGGCCGTTCTCTTACGTCAGCCTGTAAAAGATGTAAGCATCAGCGACTTCATGCCCGCAGGTGGACATTGGAGAAACTGTCAACAGCTGTGGGGAGCTGCAGATTCCAGCGGGGGAAAATCCAATGATAACCTCAGGGTCTCTGAGATAAAGCCTCCTCATCACAAGGTGGCAGATTCCTGCCTCCAGAAGACCCAGGGAGCCTGCTCCCAGCATCCCAGAGACAGTTGGTTAGGATTCGCATCTCTAAAATAAGTGTTCCAGGTATGCTAGGCGGGCACAAGGGTGTCCGCCAGAAAAACCGACTGTCTCTATTTCTTCTGACTTGCCAACACCATTGGTATCCATTGCCAACACGCCCTACACCTCCCAACCCGTAACCTCCAGTAGCCACCATTTGTACCCTCTGCATGTATGAGTTCTGATTTTGAGACTC